GATCCTATGTGGGAACAGAAACTCAGGTCAGGGACTAATAAGGGTTGATAATTAAGAGAAAATAGTCACTGACCTGTTTCTGAGTGAAGCTGAAGCCAGACGAGGGGTAACAGAGTCCTGAAGGGAATGTCCAAAGCTGAAGTCATAGCAGAACCAAGTTCAGAGACCAGAGGATCAGAAAGCCGATGAGGTACAGAAGGGGAATCCAAGTTTGGTGAGCCAGGTTAATCCAGGAATCAGTCCAGAACAGAGCAGATTAAAGAGCAGACTAGGGCAAAGCAAAACTCGGATCCACAGGACAGAAACAGGTCACATTTAGATAATCAGAAAAACAAACAGAAGGCTAGAGTTACTCACACAAAACAGCTTGAGTATTCTGGCACTGGTAGCTGGAAAACACACAGCATATATAGGAGCTGAAAACAGGTGGATCAGATAAGCAGTAATGAGAAACTGGGTGGAGTTAAAGAGGTGAGTGGAATGAGCAATCAGGCCAGCCACCAGTGCCAGGTTCATGACACAGGGGGAAAAAGGGTCCCAGCGTTCTCACCTCGCTCTGCTAGCTGCTCCATCTTCAACAGTCGTTTTCCACAATGGCGGCCAGACAAACAAAACAAGCCGGTAAGGAACCAACCAGGAAATAGAGTAGATTGAATGTAGATCTAACCAATCAGAGGCCTCCTGTCTGCGGTCAGCTGCAATTTTGGAGAGTTGCTGCAGAGTGTCTGTGGAAGGGGCGGGGCATATATCTGTGTTAAATGCGACACACATGCAGACGACCTGGTTTCTGAGCATAAACCAGCCTGTAAGTAAGTAGGTAGCTGTGGGTTTGTTGCTTGGTTGGCTAAATAGATTAAAGTGCTGCAGTGTAATTACACCAGGTTACAGTGCAGTGGCAGAGTAAAGTCTGATGACCTTCAGTAGCGCTCCTTTTTAAAGTGTATTAATCCTTAATCTGAGCAGGTTAATAAGATGATTTGACAATGGAATTAAAATTTTAGATTTTTTTTATTTGCAGTGTAATGCTGGTTCCTCTCTGCTCTCTAGCAAACCTCTGAGGCCAGAAACAGAACAGCTAATCCGGTTTCTCCTGAAGGCACTTCGGCTGTTTTAAACTGCAGCTTTTAAAGCTAAATCTGCTGCTAATGTTTTCATAGAAGATCTCATGTTTCAAAGCAACTCTTTGATTCTTCGTGGTCTGCAGCGGTCTGCAGCAGTCTGCAGCAATCTGCAGCAGTCTGCAGCGTTGGGCTGTCAGTGGATCTGATCTTGGCAGCAGGTTGCTGTTTGGAGGTCAGATGTTAGAAGCAGCAGTTCCAGGAGGAGAAGTAAACTCCATGAGGGATCCGGTCTATCCGATCCCATCCAGGCATCGTTCCAAACAGCTGGGTGACAAACACACAGCATCATCCCGGCGTTATAAAGCTGCTCACTTTGCTTTAAAGAGGAACAGTCCAGCTTGGGTTTTATTTAGGGCTGGAAATTCCAGACTAGTCAGAGTCGGTCAGTTTGGGTTTTTTCATGAGAAGCAAAGAAGCCACTTTATGAGTCTGACTCTCCTCGTGTCAGGGAGGTTTCATCCAGATGGAATGCTGGAAAAACGGCTGGGATACGACAACCGCCGCCCCCCGCTCGCCTCCGCCGCTGATTCAGCTGAGCTACGCTCGTCATTCCACCTCCAGGCTGGGTTGCAATGTCACATGTTCTCGAGACCTCCATCCAGGGGGGGGGGTTACCATAAAACTGTCCACCATCTTGGATCAGTCCATTTGCTGCACATGTTCAGAAAGGTCCAAACAGACAGCAGCAAACCATTTGAAAACAAACCATGCAAAGAGCAGTGTTGCCAACTTAGCGCTTTAGTCGCTATATTTAGCCACTTTTCAGACCCCTCTAGCACTTTGATTTCTCAAAAGCTCCTAGCGCCAAATCTAGAGACTTTTTCCTGCTACTGGAGACT